TTTTTTTTAAATTTAATTATATCTTTATAAAAATTCCTATTAATTATATATATGGCCTTTTTCGTCGATGGCGACGGTCGGCAGCAGAAAATAAGTAAAACACAGCGCCATTCATAGCTAAAACAACCAATGCACGATCGGCACGGTTTTTGACACCGACCACGGTAGTAGAACACTGTCATCCACAGTGGGACATTTGAGTCTTTGTCTAGCCTCTACGACTCGCTGGACTCTATTCTCTTCATAGCTCTTTGCTGCCCCGAAAACGGCAGCTCTCTACCAGAATCGATCCCGGACAACCGCAGTTCGCAACATTGAAAGAAAATTCTATCATGTACGTTTTACACCACTCCTTGAGTCGTCCAACATTATGCGGGCCCTCAGACAATTCCCCATACTGCATCTGTTTGGGGATTCTGGAGTTATCCGTGGGTGCAACATGACCAAATTAATTAATGTTTATATGAAAAACACAATCTGTTAATAATTATGATTTTATTTAAAAAATCCGTTAATCATTTTTGGTACGATTGACATTAACAGATATTTACTAGTCTTATTGTTCAGTCATTAAAATATTCTTCCTGGCTTTCAACGACGATTTTCAGTCATAAAAGGATTTTCGTTTCGATTCGATTAAATCCTGAGTCAATTTTTCAATATTTTCATAGTGTTGAAACCTTTTTCGGCCGGCGTTTTGGACTATTTGTCATAGCAGATGTTCATTCAAATTACTAGGATGATAAGCATGAATACAAATTTCCAATCGATCTCAAAGAAGGATTGCTTCACTTTGATTTTTCTTATTTTCAAATCATTGATTGTATTGGTGGGTATCTTAAGAATAGTTGTCCTGTCAAAACACCTACTCACTTTTGTTATTTAAAGCGCTGACAGATATAAGGAGTCTTTGTTCAATATATCGCTGCATAAGTATTCATTACTGTTTCTATTATGCAAATTTGTCCTCTACTCTTTGGATTATGCAAATTTGTACTCTACTCTTTCGATTATGCGAATTTCTCCTCTATTGTTTCGATGATGCGAATTTGTCCTCTATTCTATTGATTACACAATTTTGTCCTCCATTCTTTCGATTATGCGAATTTGTTCTCTATTTTTTCGATTATACGAATTTGTCCTCTATTCTTTCGATTATACGAATTTATCCTCTATTCTTTCGATTATGCGAATTTGTTCTCTATTCTTTCGATTATGCGAATTTGTTCTCTACTCTTTCGATTAGCAAATGTGTCCTCTATTCTTTCGATTATGCGAATTTGCCCTATACTATGTGACTAAAAACATTATTTTATCGTCCCCATGCTTCACAGTTGGAGCGGTTTTTTGGCTTTAATTATTCATCCTGTTCTCTTGACTTTATTGGTTTGGTCTGTGTTTTGATTTGTGGTTTGGTTTGCTTAATTGCATATGCCGAGAATTAATTTCCTTGATAGCTTTGGTAAATTATTTATTTTATTTACTATTAAAATATTTTGCTGGAAATATTTTTTACTGTCTATTGCTTGAAATGTTTACTATAAAATATATTTTTATACTTTCATAGTGTTTTGATCCCAGTTCGGGTGTTCACTATTTGCCCATAGCTGGGACCCTAACAGGCGCTACCACCCAGCCTCAGGGAACAACAGCAATTAAGAGGTGGATCCATGTTCCTCAAAACATCCCGATCAGAGGATTGTAATTTCGTTGAGGTTATATTTTGGAATACAGTTTGATGTTTTTAAGAAATTGTAGAATATTATATGGATTAATGTCATGAAAAAGTTCTTTCTTGTTGATTATTTGAATGATTTCGTTTAGCGGCATATCAACCTCTATGGCGTATTTAATGCTGAAACCTAAACATTTTGAACGCAATTGCACGCCCTCAACTAGAGATAAAATTTATTGTTGGTCACTCTACGATAAATAGGTATTGCTGCTGATTTTACTATAAAAATGTATTTTAATAATTTCATAGTATTTATTTTTTGTTTGTGGGTTCCCTATTTGCTTATAACTGAAACCCTAGCAGGTGCTACCACCTCGGGTCAGAATGTACCAGGGAACAACAGCAATTAAGAGATGGTTCTACGCTCCTAAAAACGTCCCAATTAGAACACTTGCTGCTAGATGTAGTTCATCGTCATACCCAGGACGTTGCGGGTCAAATAAATATCTTGGTCTCATCAAGGATATGCCATCAATTTTCATTTTCAATGCATTTCTATAGTAATATTGTGTTGAATGAAATTCTATAATAAAACAATTTATAATATATTTCTATAGTAGTAAATCATTAACTATGCACTTTAATGAAACCAATTATTGCAAACACATCTAAACTTAAGTACATAATTACACTTAGTAAGCACCTAATTAGGCGCCGTGAATCAATTAGTAACCCCGACTGTTATTCTAACCTATACGTTTTTCTAGACTAATCGATATCTGGAAACGATGATGCGTTTTTCGTTGTTTAAAACAGAACAGTGGACGCCTTTATTTGAACGATTTCTCGTCTTCGTAGTTTCAGAAATGTTTCACTCCAGGGGTGACAACCTGTCGACTGAACGAGTTTTACGATCTTAGCGAGAGATGTGCTTAATCTGATTCAATTCGGCCGCAATATGTTGCCTAGATTCTGCAACAACCCCTTTAGATCGATACCTGACGTGAGTAGTTAATACAAGTTATTTTCTCACCTTAATACCTGGCAAACATTCGTATGTGATTTTCTTACGGGCACAAATTGTCAAACACTTTCTCTTATTGATTATATTCTATCAAGAAGCGAGTACAGTATCTCGGCATCTTCGCTTCAGTCACTTTCCCATCGCCGTAACGAGTCTTCCCCGTGGCTTTTCTATAAATATTCTCATTATTCGGACTATTGTCCTCATCTTTGTCGCCATATTTATTACAACATTTCGGCCGTTGTACACTCCGGCCTTCTTCAGTATCTGTCTTTATTTCTGAGATGAGGTATTATGTACACTATTTACATTATTCGGACTATTGTCCTCATCTTTGTTGCCATATTTATTACAACGTTTCGGCCTTTCAGTATATGTCTATATTTCTGAGATGAGGTATTATATACACTATTTACATTATTCGGACTATTGTTCTCATCTTTGTCGCCATATTTATTACAACGTTTCGGCCGTTGTACGCTCCGGCCTTCTTCAGGTGGTTGAAATGGCGTTAGCTAAATCCAGTGACAGGATCCAAAGAGTGTGAGTTCAATACCTGGTTAAGGCGGTGGAGAACTTGGAGAAGGCAATTAACTAGAGATAACTAATAACTGACATCCATTAAACATGGCACGTGGAACTAGAACAGTCTACCCCAGTGAGCGAAAAAATAGCAAGCGTTGGTTAGATCCAGTGACTAGACCCAAAAGGTTGCGAGTTCAATACCAGGCTATAGCTGTGGTGAATCTGAGCTTGCAGATTTGAGTTAAACGGAAATAACTGAGACATGTGGAAGAGGCATGCCAAGTGGAACTAGAACAATCTGCACCCGTGGACGAAATAACGGATTTGGTTCGATACTTCCCCGCTATTCAGATTTTCATACTTGCTTGGTTACGGTGTCGCCAATTCGTAGTTCGTATCTTGGAATGTTCCTCTTACTGACAACTAGGCATTCTGTCTTCCTACAAATGACGTTTATTCATTTCTTTGCATTTTTCTTTTACAACGTACTCAAGGAGATCCTGCTGCAGTTTATGTCATCATATTTATCTGTCATCAACACTGCGTCATCTCTATATTTTGCATGTACGTAAAATTAGTTTTCGAAAAAGTGATGGAACATCGTGACATGACATAACACTCTGGTATTAAACACAAATAAAACCCAGTAACGTCGATTATATTGTAATGCCATTTCTACAGTTGTGATAAATGAAATGCTTCCAATATTCGTTTAGAAGCTTAAACCAAAGGTGCAACAAACAAAACATCTTGAATTATTTAGTTTGCTATACTTTTCACGTCAAAATACACAACTTTTTTCAAAGTTTTAACGAAATCTTCTATTCCACTCTTGTTTTATTGGAAGTGTAAAGACCTTTACAACTGTTGGATAATTGAGGAGTTTTTTGGTGGGTGTTTTGTCATTAGTACTGTAAAGAGAGAGAGAGTTAGGAGAAGAAAGATTTATTCTTCTATTTATATTTCCCCCATTATGAGCATTATTATATCCGTGATAGAATAACACCGCGATGCACGTACAGAACGAAATGGCTGAAAAAAAAAGGAATGACAAACATACTTGGTTTTCAGAGAAACTTTTATATTACTCAGAAATATACAAAACTTCATATACAAATGTCCCACGCTGAGAAAAATGTATCATACTAGCCGTAGAGGCTGGCGTTGCTTGGGGTTTTATGTAGTTAAATTGCTTTGGGGTTTGAATTATTGAACTTACGCACGTATCCGCAGTTGTTGAGGTCACGGATAGGCCGGGAATCTCACTGGTAGCAAAATCAATGACATCAAGGGCAACCGGTTGCAATAGGTGGCTACTGTGTTGCTGCTCCGTGCTTACCCGAAGACTGCCACCTGTTCATAATCGGTCAAGATTTTTAATTCTGACAATGTAAAATAGTTTTCACTGTAGGACTCTCCCCTTCACTATTAAGTCCATAAGTTTTCCCAGTTTTAAGCAGAATACGCGGGCGGTAACGTCATGTCTGTGAGTGTAAATCCTGTCTCAGCCCATTTGGGGTTGCAGGTAAACGTTATAAATAAATTTGGCCGCCCATATTGCCTAACGTATGTCATAGTGTCCGGCGTGCGTGCGTTCATGCATGTAACGCGGCCTCCCAGTGTAGGTAGAGGGTAGAATGCACAGCTTCCCTAGGTCGCGGGGATTGACTTCATTTCGATGGCTGTCGCGTAAGTGTTACGTAGGAGTCTGAGCGCAGCTGTTTCTCATGATTCCGTATAAAACAAAGCTTCTCCGATTCTATCTTAGCGGCCATGTCAATCGCAAACTGATGAAAAATCTCCGGGCATTCTATGAAGCAGGTTGAAGTATCCATCCCTAACCATGAACCGGTATGAGTAGAAGGCCTTGCATGATAAGGCTTTGGAAGATGTTGTAGGTTGGCCACCCGGAGTATGAAGGGGAATGTCAAAGTGGTAGCCATCGTCACCATAAGAGAAAAGTAAAGGGTACTGCAATGCGTCATATGATCGATGGGTCTCTGAAATCCTGCGAAGAGCGCCACCTCTTGATTTGAGGGCAATATAGCGAGTGCGGTCTTGCTCCCCATGCATAATAGCGGCCACTTTGTTGCACGCAGGTGCATTGTAGCGGCGTTCGTGTTCATCATGAGGCCGTTTGTCGGCGTCAATTACAATTCTGAAGGAAGGAAAGGGAGTATTTTCCAAAGCATATTTGAAACTGCGAATGTAGCTGTTAACCTCGTGAAGCATGGCCTGTAGTAGTAGTATGACGTCCCTGCGAGGAAGTCCTTAGGTTTATAATACCCAGAAATTCATACATAGATGTCCTCAAGGACACATGATACAGTGGATAAAGACGTTAGTTAGATGCAGTGACAGGACCCAAAGAGTGTGAGTTCAATACCTGGTTAAGGCAGTGGAGAACTTGGAGAGGGGAATTAACAGAACTGACATCCATTAAACATGACACGTAGAACTAGAACAGTCTACCCCAGTGAGCGAAATAAAGGGTTCAGTTCGACATTCCAACCACCTGAAGAAGACCGAAACGTTGTAATAAATATGGTGACAAAGATGAGGGCAATAAAGAATAATGTAAATAGTATACCTGGTAGGGATCGTAACATTACTCAGAGCTAAAAAGGATAGAAAATCGCCGGTATTCGCTCCACACTTTTGAGCACTCTACTTTTGCGTTCCAAACTTTTCTCAGTATCGCCTCTGGTTTTAAAAAATTCATTTTTCAACATAATGACTTAAAGTTCAAATAGAGCAAAACCTGACCATCGACATTCGAAAATATTTTTGAGCTAGGATCATCGAAAGATACAATATGTAGAGCATATGTATGTGCCTTGTCCTTTCAGTGGTCATGTCTTTCCACAACTTCCTGCTCTTTGTATCTCTAAAAAATGTTTTCCCATTACTGCCCCCAGTTCTTCTATTTCTGAAAGCTTTTAATCATTGTTTGCCTCTGCCTTTCTTTCCTTTAATACATCCTGTAATTGTTAAATTCTCCAAGCCGTCTTTCCTCATTATTTGTTCAAGAAATTTAAACTGTTTCTGATTCTATGTACAACTGTCCTTTTTATTCCCATTTTCTTCCTCCATGGCATTCTCAACATCCTCCTGTAGAACTGGATCTTTTTTGACTCAAGTCTCCTTCCCATCGACGAGAAAGGCTTTCGGCTACATCATGTTGGAACATCTGTTGCCGTACGATCACCGTAGTTAAGCAATGTCGAGTCTGGTCAGTAACTAGGTGGGTAACTGCTTGAGAATATCAGGTACTGTAAGCTTGGATGTGCGGGTTGTGCAATGGATAACGACTCGGAATTTTTAATCGGAGAGCCGAGTTCCAATTCCAGTCGGGTGCGTTATGTTCACTTATACGCAAGTAACCTAGGGAAAGGTATGAATCCACCATCTCTTTCCCCAGCTATGGGTTAATTAGTAAGACTTCTATTACTAAAACCATTAATACCAAAAACAAAATTCTGGCTTTAAATAACCTACAAAAGGGTTGATAAGCCATAGAAAATGAATGAATGAATCAGCTGTGAGGAAAGTGTTCAGCATTCACTGCGATATAGGAGGATTTTTGTAGCGCACTAAAAGTTTAAAAAGTATATAGTCTCGAGAATTTAAAAAATGAAAATACTTTTGATACACCCTGGTGTTTTAATTGTGGTTTTATACTTAAAATGCTTTCAGTTGTAACCATCTCTGTGACAAATGTATTTGTCACATTGAAAAGTTGAATTATTAAATTTGTGTATTTTGCATTTGATACATATCACTCTGACCTTCATTCGTCCGGAGATTTTCCTCCCATTTCGTTTCTTTTTTTCCATTTGACTAATTCATCGATATTGTTCTGCAAAATGAAATTCATAATTTATATTCTGCAAACACCTGTCCGCGTATTCAACCAGCTGGTGATAATTAACATTCATCAATAACTTGTTTTTATTTTCTTAAAGTAGCAGCTTGTTTTCGTTGGTGTGTAACTTAATTTTTATATAAATGTAACAGTCGAGGTCCACAGGAGTATCGCAGATTTGCTGTCTTCTTCTTTCATATGCCATTTTCCTTCCGAATGTGGGTGATTTTTTGTAGCTCTAAGCCAGTGGTTCTCAACCTTTTTGGGGTCATGCCCCACTTTGGTATTTGTATAATTCTGGTGTCCTCCTTGTAATATTTAATTCTTACATATTCAAAATTGTACTGCAGTTCACATGAAGGAAGCTTAAAAGGCCATTAATTTGGTCTTTAAACAAGCCTCCAAAGATCATGGCATCCATGAAAGAGAAAAATTAAAAAACAAAAAGACAGTTAAATATATATATAGATTTAAAACATATAACAGAGAAGGCAGAAATATAAAATATTTAAATGAAAGCTTATTCTGTAATATACTTTGATCATCTTAATTATGAAATAATAATGCAAAGCTCACGTTGGTATAGTAAGCCGAAGGGTGCACATCCTACGCATGCCCCCACCAAAATATTATCATGCCCCACCGGTGGGGCATGCACCCCACGTTTTGAATCATTGCTCTAAGATCTTGTAGAGCAGAGTAGAAATTATAATTTAAAGACAACCTTAGTTCAAATAATGCCCCACACTTTTTCCTCAATTCTCCCAGATGTGCCTCTACTGGTCATGAATATTTTGATTGTATATTTTTTAGATTTTAAGACTGAAAATATTAAAAAGAAAGTTTCCTTTATAGTTAACAATCAACATTAATGTTATCACTCTCACTCAGACTCACTAGAAAACAATTCACTTTTAATAACTCATTCTCGAATCGCCTTCTTATTTTGTTGGTATAGTAAGTTAACCGATGCACACCCTATACATTCCCCATCAAAATATTACCATGAACTCACTCTTCTTACTATGCTTCCCTACCCCTGTTTTACCATTATTTGCGCATGCTCGTCACGTATGTCGCTCTCAATTTCATTGTGCCTTTTTTGCCTTCATTATATCTTGTGAGTGTCACATTCTCCAAGCCATCTTTCCTTATTATGCATCCAAGAAATTTCAACTATTTCTGATTCTAAGCAAGGATTTCCAGGGAATTCACGGCTTCCTTCTGCAGATGTACATCTCTATCACTTCCTCTGTTTTCCTCTGTCTCTCTTCACTTCAAATTCCAGCTGTCTCTTTAAGATATTAAGTTTAAGTGACTTTTTTGTTTCCATTTTCTCTAAAATCTCAGCCTTACTCACATGTCGGGTCTATGGGATTCTCATCATCCTACTGTAGAAGCACGTTTCTGTTGCCTCAAGTCTCCTCTTTAACTTTGAAGAAATTAACCAGAAATACTGCTATATAAACGCATATTAGATAGCAGCTCTGCACTTTTTTTTTTTTTTGCTTCTAATAATTTTTTTGTTTGTTAATGTTTTTAAACTTTTGCAATGCATCTTTAATAGTAGTACTAGATTGGCGGATAGGTTTCATCTTTTTTCAGTTGATATTGATAGATTTCAATGATGCTTTCCATATCACATTTTCCGCCATCGATTAAACACTTCCCTGATAGTTAAAATGCTTGATTTTGACATCTCCAGATTGTAACGCGAAATTTCTTCTCCTATGTGCCATAGATCTTCAGAACGAAGGCAATGATGGCTCCCCACAACTTCCTATCCTTTGAAACTCTGAAGCGCTTTTATTTGTTTCTATTAAGTCAATCTGCAAGTACTACGATAAAGCACCACATTCGCGAGAATTTAGATCGAGAAGTCCGATCGTTCTACGGCGAGTATTTAAGTTTGGCGTAGAGTAACACAAGGACACAATAATGGAATGACGACTGGATTCCTGTCTAAGGCCCATGGAAAGCTTAACCGGATATCATGTGACCTAGAAAGATAGAGTGAAATAAATAGCACTTCAACAAAGAACTTACGGTTTCAAGTTCTAACAAAGTGAACAAAACACAACCAGTAAATCAAATAAAATGTATATTTAAAGTTCCTAGAAGGTTCTTCTTTTATGTTCCAATGTTTTAAGAACGTGAGATGTCTCTCTACAACTTTCTTTCTTGTTGTTCTTAGGCACTTTTTCCTTTCACCATCAATCATTATTCTTTTTTTTTAAGTGTTTCACCCGAAGCAAGGCGGGAAACCACTAGCACGCAAGGGGTTACAGAGAGTTGGAGCTAGAGCAAATAGGAGTGATAGAGGAAAGGATGAAGAGAAGGATAGGGTATAGATCAAGGCATCTGGAGACGTCGATTGACATTACATTTGAATAGTTGGAGATTATAGCTATCAGAGAAACAGAAAGAGGGGAGGGAATTCCACTAGCGAGAGGTGCGAGATATGAATCTATTGGAGTAAAAGAAACGGCTACATTTAACAGTTTCGAAAGTGAAAGGGTGTGAGCGAGATGCCAGCCTAGTAGAACCTAGGGAACCAGCGAAAGCAGCTCCTCGGAGCAATTACCATGAAAGTAATTTTAAAAAAGACAGATGGAGGCGATGGCCCGTCTGTGAGAGAGCGACTACAGATGAGATGCTAGATCAGGGCCAATTACGTTGCATATCCGTCTCTGGATCTTAAGACAAACATAAGGGGCTCCAGACCATATATGGCATCAATACTCCATGCAAGGGCGAATGGTTGATTTGTAGATTTGAAGGATCGACTCCGGCGAGAAAAATTTCCTGGCGCGGCACAGGGAGCCAACTTTCCTTGCGGTGGACAAAGCTATTGACTCAATGTATTTGTTCCATCTCAGGTCAGTAGCCAATGTGAGGCCGAGTAGTCACAAAGAGAAGCTCTCAAGAAGTTGAGCCATGTATTCACAAAAAATCGTTAAGTAGTTTACTCACTAATAATAATAATAATTTTCTCACTTACCACCGCATGCATCATCCTAAGGCTGATGCTGATTGTTTGTATGTGCTCAGATCTGAAGCAGGTAGAGGGTTAGTTCAACTAGAATTCTCTTACAAATTCACAACAATCGGTCCACAAAGATAACTGTAAACTACAGAATACTGGACGATGGTCTGTGTCAAAGAACATGAAAAAAGTAAGAAAGTGTATTTATTAATAAAGGAAGCCAACAAGTTCAAAAGTTTATAAACAGTAAATTCGACCTTGTCTACCGTAAGGTTCTTTGTGGCCGAGCAGTCAAGGCACGTCAGCGTATATGACGGTTCCGTATAGGATGCAGGTTCGAATCCTGTCAAAGAACGAATATTTTCTATGAAAATTTCTCGGACATTCAGGCCGGTAAATGTTATTTAATACTGTTTATCATAAACAGAGCATTTGCTTAAATACTTGTATCTATAAATAACAACGTTAAACATTAAAATGTCTTTAATAAATAAATTGTCGGACCTTGTCCATTTCTTAACATATGACGTCATTTGTTTACATTCGATACGCCAGAGCAGTTATGAATGTACGAGATTCATGGAAGATTGAAGTTTATAAACAGTAAATTCGACCTTGTCTACCGTAAGGTTCTTTGTGGCCGAGCGGTCAAGGCACGTCAGCGTATATGACGGTTCCGTATAGGATGCAGGTTCGAATCCTGTCAAAGAACGAATATTTTCTATGAAAATTTCTCGGACATTCAGGCCGGTAAATGTTATTTAATACTGTTTATCATAAACAGAGCATTTGCTTAAATACTTGTATCTATAAATAACAACGTTAAACATAAAAATGTCTTTAATAAATATATATATATATATATAGGTTGGTTGGAAAATTATTAAGAACAAGTCCTTCAAGCTATAACAAGTCAAATAAATGTTCATAATAAATCTTTCAGTAAAATACTTTAACAAAATGAAAAAAATGTTTCCATGGAGTCTTGTCAACGTTATAATATAAATAAATATCCTCTGTCGCGACAATAGCCTAATAGATTAAGGCGTTGGTTTGTGAATTCGGTGTCTTAGCCATTCAATCCCTGGCCAGAGCAATGTGTATCTGAACTCAGGGGGTAAGAAATAACTGAGCCGTACTAAACATGAACTAGACGAGATAATCTCAGACATGGTCAACGGAACAAGAATAATCTAACCCCGCAGATTAAATAAAGGCTTCAGTTCGAAATTCCCTGAAGGTTACGTGAATCGAAAGCCACCTGATGAAGGCCGGGGGGGGGGGCACACGTGCCGAAACGTTATAATATTAGTAACAAAAATGAAAAATAGCATATAAATTATGCAAAGTAAATGTCCATCTAAAAAGAAAAAAAAATGTATTGGGTATGGGGAATCTAATAATAATTTTAGGGTACGAAAAAAACAACAAATATTAACAAGCAGTGGGTACGTTTATTTGGCACCCGATGGCACTCTCTTAAAAATATGTCAAACTTAAAATTAAGACGGCAACTTCAGATCAAACAATCGAATAGTATTTGGATTTAAAACTTTAGATCTGACGTGCTTTGATCTCTCGGCTACAGAGTGCGTCGGTGACAAAGCAAAGTTTAAATAGTGCCTTTAAGCAAAAATCTTTCTTCGACTCTCGAAACAGACATACACCCTTGCGCAAATTAATTGAAACAACCGTTTTAATTTCCTTTCTTTCACCATACGGTCAGTTTTAGACCCACTGGAGTAACAGGGTGTAATTGATTTCTAGATTAGGTCAATTGCAGTGGTATGCAGTAATATGAATCTATTTTCGGGGTGTATGATGAAATTTCTTTCGCCTTGAAAAATATTGCGTCATACGTTATTGCATCAGGTTTTCATCACGCCCAGACACTATTGTCTCGACTGTCGATTAGTTGACCTACAGCCATTGTCTTCGATGGACGTTACTCCAAGGAATACTACGAAAATTGTAACTCTGCACGAATACACTGACAAGCCTTGCCAGTGAGTCAATCAATGTACTATAGACTGGCCCGGAAACTCTCCTGATTTAAATCCAATCGATAATCTGGGGTTAATCTACAAGGAAAAACTTCGTGGAATGGATATACGAAGTACTAACATGTATACTGGATCATGTCTCATTGGAAAAATACAAGAAAAAGTAAATAATAACGGAATTATTCATTTTGTCTCACTTAATTTGCACAAGGGTGTATCTACTCAGGTTTCGCATCCTAAAGTAAACAAAGCAATTTGTAAAGAAAGGGGATGGATATTTTATTTATTATAAATATTTCTCTTATGATATTGAGCAATAAAAGAAGATTATTGACTTCTGTTTTAAAATGATTTCTTTTTATTATTCTGATGTACTTTACTACAAGCGTTTTTAACATCTCCACTACTATCAGTTGCGTTTTTATCAGGTGCAAAATCGCCTGATTCTCATCTTAGCAAAGAGCAAGGATTTTAAAGTAAGGACAATACAAAATATCTCATTCACGAGGCATCGACAACTTTTATTGTATTAAATGGAAGTAGGTTATTTAATCAATTTAGAATCTTCTGTTGCTTTTCTGAAACATCTGTTGTATATGCCATTGTTCACGCAAATACAATTTCATATGAAATCAATAGACCGTGGTGCGTTGTTTTGTTTTACCATAAAGGAGATTTCTATATTTACGTATGCCATACAACACGTTCATATTGATCAGAGTCACTTTCCCTCATAAGAAGGTATGGTTCAATGGTTACAGAGCCCAACGGTGTTCGAAAGAGCGTGAGTTCAGCGTGAAATACCCATGCTTGTCAAATAATAATTTTCAAAACGTAAATGCGAAAATAGTCCGGAAAATATCCAACGGTTTAATATAAACGCATAGACTTATTAGTACCTTACTAATATTAGTACCTTACTAATATTAGTACTTTATTCCTCTTTATCAGATTCATCCAATACAAAGCTCGACAATTAGCCAAGGTAGAGGTTTACCATTAAAATGGGAATGAGGAATGAATGAAGATATGAATTAAAAAAACTGACATTGTTTATGTATGTATGTGCGTCTTCTAGGAATTTCTCGACATAAAACAGAAAACAGTCTTCTCGTCGTGTGTAGAGATACCTCCACTTGAGCATAAACTTGAATTCATATAGCATTGCTTTTTTTTATTCTAAAATTCATTCAATACAAGGCTCGAAAGCCACTCAAGATAGAGTAAAAATTGTAATAACAAATGACATATATGTTATGAATGAAAGGAGAAATTAGAAAGTGAGGATAAAGAGAATAGATAACAATTCATCCTTGAAATGATTCAGATTGTAGTTTCCAGGGAAGCACCCACACGGGAGTCTGTTTCACTGTTGTGTTGCTAGGTGTATGTTTATTTGTGTCAAGAATGAACACACAATTCGAATCTTTATATATTTTATTTACTATTGGATGACATTAGATGTCAAACATGACCAGTGATTATCGATAGACTGAAGTTCGATACGCGACAGGTAAGGATGCGTGACCGCCATCTTGAAATCCTTTTTTCTACTCTGTTGTCCTAGAGAGTTTCGACCTAGGAGCATAGCTTGGTTCCCTTTTAGAGAGCGAGTTAGCTCCCTTGTTATAACATCCGTTATAACATTCACAATGTAGTAGTTCTTGGTGGCGAAACTGTCTGAGTGAAACTCTTTTAAATTCGGAACACGAAGGAAATCAAGGTGATTTTGACTCCATGAATGTAGTGTGTTGGGTCATACTTTTAACGGTCTGAAGTGGTGAAACTAAAGAATGGGAATCATTTGAACATTTTGCAAGGAAAATAACGGGAGGCTTGTTATTGTATCTTTGGGCAGGAGGCTGAAGAGAAAAATAAATAAATCTTCTCCCACATCCCTTGAGACTTTACGCACTTATCGCAGGATTCTTCCCACTTTTCAAAATAGTTTAAACTATCCTTTTTGGGGATCACCATCTGGTGACTCATCGCGTTCTCTTTAATTTCGTCGACGGAGTTTAAATGCTGATTTTATCTTTTGGAAAAGCTAGAAGTCGCAAGGAGACAAAGAGGGACTGTAATTAGACAGTTGGGTGCTGGTTGGATCTTAAAAAACACGTTGGTGGGGGAGGAGATGAGACGTGAAAAATCTACTCGCATGATAATTTTAATGCGACGAACTCACAATACAAATGCTCACTCCAACTGTCTAACCCTGCTCACGTATGGCGATCAGTGTAATTGCCAAACAACAGCAAAGCCAGGAAAACAAAATGTTTAAAATGGCTGAAAAGATCGTATTAAAAGAAGTATTAATAGAAGTAAAGGTTTATCCCTTGCTTCATGTTTAGGATTGGGTTTCCGAATCTTTCTTAAGCCTTTTCATTCTCTTTCACTCCCACTAACACCTTATGTCTTAGCGGCATTATCACCTTGTTTCGGGTGAATTGATTAAAAAAAAATAAGTAAATAAAAAAAATGTAATAAAATTTGCTGCTCAGACTCTGGTCTGTTTAAATTTTAATTGTTCATACTTACTAATTTTGTTCTTTTTATTTAGTATTTTTAACTATGTTGATGTTGATGAAGATGATATTTTTCACAAAGCTGCGACGATTTCTTCAATAGCCTTCTTTAAGAGGAATTTTAATCATTGTCTCGCCATTTCGTGGTTCGTAAAACTGTGATTAGAATCCTCGCCATATAGACTATTGCTAATTTGTTCAGTTTTCGTTAATCTAGCTTTATATCAAATTAACTTCGTCCCAAAAACAAGATGAGATTAACCTGCTTGAAATATTCTAGGTTTGAAAAGTCATACCTTTAAATTCTCCACATCGTTCACTTTCTTCTAATTCGCTTTGTTCCTCTCTCTGCCTCTCTCTGCCTCCCTCTTTGTTGCCTCTCTCGCTCGCTCACTCTCTCTCTCTCTCTCTCTCTCTCTCTCTCTCTCTATATATATATATATATATATATATATATATATATATATATATGCAAAGCTCTTCAGTAAAATGAATTGGAGCACTCCGGCTGATTGGCATTTGTTTATATTCGTAAAAACAATACGCTAGATTTAGTTGTTTCTATCTGTCGAATGAAGATAGCTCAGTGGTAAAAATTCCAACTGATCGGTTGGGTTTCGATCCGGGCTTGATATATTCGGATGTCTAGTCGCACTGAGGATCCGTGATACAGCGAAACAGTACTGTCTGCGAATGACATAAGATAGATAGATAGATAGATAGATAGATAGATAGATAGATAGATAGATGAATGAAAGGTGGAGTAATGGATAACGGCTTCGATTGAGTTGAGTTCCAATTCAAGTTCGTTATATTCACGGGCGTTCAGATATCCTTCTTCCTTCAGACAGTGAATAAATAACAGGACAAATTGGGACTTATAGCTTTGGGTGGCAACTGATCTAAGCGAAGGGCAACACTGAATTCAAAACCCTAGGAGGTTCGTTTGGAAACCTCATGACATATTATGTACAATTTCTCTGTATTCGGTTTTTTCCAAATGTGTAGTTGGTTCTATACAAGCCTTCACCCCTATAATCAAAACATATTAGCTTCATCCACCGCAAGGAAAGTTGGTTTCCTATGTGGCGCCAGAAAGTTTTTGTAGCCCAGGTCCATCCTATAAATCTATAAATCAACCATTCGCCCTTGCATAGAATACCGCTGCCATATATGGTCTGGGGCCCCCACTGTTCGCCTTAAGGTCCTCGACAAAATCTAGCGACGTATATGCAATGTAATTGGCCCTGATCTGGCATCTCGTCTACAGTCGATCTTTCACAGACGTGCTGTCGCCTCCCTCTGTCTTTTCTACAAACACTTTCATGGTAACTGCTCCGACGGGCTACTTTCGCTAGTTCCCAAACTACATGAATTTAAACGTGCTACTAGGCTAGCATCATGGTCCCAACATTTCACTGTCGAAACAGTTAAATATAGCCATCTCTTCTATTCCAATAGCTTCATGTCTCGCACTTCTCGTCTGTGGAATTCCCTTCCTATTATTTGTTTCCCTGATAGCTATAATCTCCAACTATTCAAATGTAATGTCAATCGTCATCTCCAGATGCCTTGACCTATTCCCTGTCCTTCTCTTCATCATTTCCTCTATCACGCTCCCACTCCCTGTAAACCCTTGCGTGCTAGTGGCATCCCGCCTTGCTTCGGGTGAAATGCTTAAAAAAATGTGTGGCTGATACTGGTTGTTCGGCTCTAAGAACTGGATAGCGGCCTCCTCATACGTTAAAAACGATGAGAGTGTCCAGTAGTATATATATATATATATATATATATATATATATATATATATATATATGGGGTATCTATCAAAAATTTAGTTTCCATAAAAAAAATCGGTCGACCCTTATATTTCTAGATGGCAGTTTTTGAACTTAATATATACAGATAAGAGATAGAACAATAACAGCAACAAATAAAATTAAACTTTCAACTTACCTGTTGCTATTCGGAACAACATCCAATTTTACTATCAACACGCCAATCGAATATCATATCCTCGAGACTCCTAATAGAACAGATAAGTTGAACATTTAATTTCACACACGTACACACACATATACACACACACACACACATATATATATATATATATATATATATATAGAGAGAGAGAGAGAGAGAGAGAGAGAGAGGAGGGAGAGGGGGAGCGTCTGGTTAGCAAATTAAAATTACTGTTTTTAAACAAATTTCCCACGATTTCTCTCGAACGTTCACATCAGGCCTGACGATTGCATATATATATATGTGTGTGTGTGTGTGTGTGTCTCTGTGTGTGTGTGTGTGTGTGTGTGTTTCATTAAAGGTGAAAGACAAGGAAAACGTAATCATCAGGCGTGATGATTGCGTCTAGAATTAAACAGTCTGTCGCCTCTGAGTGTTGACTTCAAAGTTCACGTTTATATTTACACGCTCTATCTCTGATATTGACCACTTTATCCCATAAATATAGCACACCTTAAAAACTATATTTTTATATATATATATATATATATATATATATATATATATATATATATATATATATTATATGTCAATAAGACCGTAACCTAAAGATGAAAGAAGCATATTAAGCAATATTTATTTCTCAACATAATCTCATTTTTTTTTTTTTGGGCGATTGGTTTATCCTAAAGCTTTGTCATTAATATAAGAGAGATACAGACAGATAGACAGACAGATGAATAAATAAGGGTTGAAATAAAAGTTTGAAAGACTATGTGAGCATACAAAGCTAACCTCGATCATGCTTTCCACCGATCAGCCAATGATTACCCTGCGCTGCATCTTCATTCTCGTTCTTGTCGGTGTGCATCAAAAAACTGGGAAAGAACCCACTGCATGTTCACAAGATAATGAAGATGAAATACACACACCACGTTCGAGTACGAACCCTGTTTTGTTTCTTGTCTTGTTTTTGTTTTTTTGTTTTGTTATTTTTTTGTTTTTTGTTTTTTTGTTTTTTTTTTGTTTTGTTTTTTAAATACTCTAGGTAGATGTTTTATTCAGGACTTCGCCTGTTCGTCTAGGTGTATAGGTAGGTAGGTAACAGGACAACTTCTGATATATCGATCTCATATATGAGCTGTTACCCCGCCAGCCACACATACCGACTTTTCGCTGGAAATACGAACGTGGCATTGGAATAACGCGAGAAAAATCCGTCTGCCGCTAAGGACGGATAAGAACTGACTTCTTCCTCCCTCATCCTATAGACAAGCCACTCGGAAGTAATCATTATCCAGTTTGTTGTCACTTAATCTTCAAAAGCCCCTATCCACTCCCTTTACTCTTCCGTTCTCCTTTGGTTAAAGTAGATGCTACTTAGAATACAAATTAAAAATAAGTAACATCCGCAAAGCTATAAAAGAAAAACACTTGAGATTGAGATATATTCACATCTCTACCAACTACAGGGGTCTCCCAAATATAGTGTCACATCAATGCAGGGCCTGCGCATACTAACCGCGGGGTGGGGAGCCTGATTGGGGATCCCAGGCAATGTTTTGTGACCCTATCAGCATTTGATTTTTTTTTACTTTCATTTATATACGGCACAACTGACTATTCAATGATGCAATTTTTTTCCACGGATTTTGATCTCATTCTGAGTGCATTTTTTTCGTCTAAATCCGTGATATTATTTTCATATTAAGTCTAAAAAACACTGTATAAAATTTTCTATTTTTTCCAACATAAATTTGAATGTGTTAAAATTATTCAACTTTTTAACAAGAAAAATCTAAATTGTACAAGATACATTGTATTTATTTTCAATTTTTCTAGTTGAATTGTTCACCTATATTGCATATGATCCATTATTGTATATAATTAGCTTACAATAAAATTTATATTTTATATTAATACTACGTGATGAAAATTGAGATGTAGTAGAGTGGGGGGTTATAGATTCAGGGGGTGGCACGATACACTTGCACCGACACTTGCCCCGACCCTCTATGTTTCCTATTGAAAAGGAATAGTCACCAATCAATTGTTAAAACAAAGCGCCCTATTTTTATGACATTGTACCAAACATAGCTCAGCTGAGTATAGGTTTACAGATAAGTTTATCAAGCTTGAGGTAGAGCATTATCAATAATAAATGTTTTTAAGTACAACGTCAAACCTCATTGGGGACTAATTCTGGCAGATAACAAAAACGATTAAGGATTTGAGCAGGAAAGAAATGCATAATGTTGAATCGGGAATGTAAAAAAGGGTGGTTTACGATGTGTTTTATTTCTTTATCAATCGCTTTACAAAACGAGACATGCTTTCGATTCTGAATATTTTTAACGGATTTGTCGAAGTTCAGTTAAAGATCATATTTTTGGAACGTACAATAAGATGTCAACTCAATACAAAGGGTTTGCGAGGATTGAATCAAAGGACACTTTCTAATTTGTTTCGTGTGCGTGTGTCTGTGTGTGTGCGTGTGTGTGTGTGCGTGTGCATGTCTGTGTGTATGTGCATGCGTGTGTATATGCATGCGCGCGCGTGTGTGTGTGTGTGTGTGTGTGTGTGTGTGTGTGTGTGTGTGTGTGTGTGTGTGTACGCATCTAAATACAATTATATACATATTCTTGTTACGGCTGAATTAAAATACTGATTTCTTTAACATTAAAATTTGGTCATTCGTCTGTGGTAACATTTAGCATGCTTAAGAAGGCTTTCCACGATGAATCAACGTGCGATTTCTTGACAAAATTTTGATACCGATGCTTCAAATTGACCCCGGAAACTTGTCGAAATCAGTGTATTGGGAGCTTCAATATACTGAACACACAAAAATATTGAATGCAACCAAAGTGGCTGGCAATGCGAAAATGTGAAGATATGGAGATCCCGCGGATTGTCCTGAATTTATCCAACGATTTTGAATATCGCGACTGCTCAATTTTCATATCTTGGGCAGGGTTTGATAATGTCATGGGGTCCTTCACTTTACAATCTGTACCTTCCTGCTAAAAACATCAAACTAAGTACATTTACCCAAACAAATACTGTGGCGTGAGTATGTGAGAGAGAGAGAGGGGGGAGAGGGAGAGTGATGGTAAAAGAGAGGACAACGATAATATTAAAGAAAAAAGGATATAACCTATCATTCTAAGATAAGAACTTTTTTTATATATATTTTTATATGGATAGTGATATGCGAGTGAAAGAAGGAGAGAAAAAAATCTCTTAGAAGAAAAAGTCTCTAAGAGTTTTTATTTGCTGGTAGGAAAAATAATGCTTTCTTCCTTACTTCATAACTGCTACTGTTTAATCCACAATCTTATGTCGCCACTGACTGGCTGTTAGTGTGGGTGTTCTCTAACTGGTTTGACGTTTAATGATTCCGTACTACAACTGCCCAAATATAAAAGATTGTTTTGAGAGTTTCAGTTGATGTAATTCTTCTAACTTATTCGAGCGTATCATGCCTTTTTTTTATATCGGAAATAAAGACGAGATACAAGTTTATGTCTTGTCAAATGCTATCTCCTAACTTCATGCTGTGTTTCTAAGCAATCGAAGTCTTTACTGACCCAGAAGTTTGTTAGGAAATTAAAAAAACCTAGTGATAAAATTTATACACATATATATATATATTGAACAATAGCAAACATATATATATATATATATATATATATATATATATATATATTGATCAATAGCAAGTATCTTCAGACACACTGAGTTGTATATTAATATTCTTTCGTTTTTATTATTATTTCATTTAGATTCCTCAACTAGTTTCGGCCAACATGGTA